AAAAAAAAAAAAGTAGCAGGTAAGCGCCGCTATGGTCATAGCGGCGCTATGAAGAATTTGAAAGCGGCGGTATGTGGAAAGTTGAGCCATAGCGACCTTCAGAGGATTTTTGCACTATCAGGCACTAGCGCCGCTATAAGCATAGCGGCACTATGGATTATTGGGAAGCGGCGCTAAGAGAGAAGCGAGTGCATAGCGATGGGCTGAAGGTTCGGGCCATTCAAACCATAGCGGCGCTATGACCATAGCGCCTCTAACCCCCCGCAGTACTTAAAAAAAAAAAAACGGGACAAATCAGAATTTCACATAACCTTCATCTCTCTCTCGAGCAAACCGTGATCCCGTCCATCACTATCCTCCTCCAACCCACGCACGGCGACAACCATCTCCGACCACCGTCTGTCCACATCCTCCGGCTACCTTTCTCCGGCCTTCACCACCTTTGAACTCGGGATTTCTCTCGCTCCATCAAGCTAACCGCACTGCAACCCTAGCTCGTGGAAGATTAACTAATTCCGGCCCAATTTCTGTGCAAAGGTACCGTTTCCTACTTCAAATTGTCGTGTGGTAGATTGTTGTGGCGTGAGGAGGCCCACTCCGAGCTCGAATCATTCCAAGTTGTTCAAAGCATCTTCACCTCCAACCCCGCACACCAAGTGTTTGATTAATTGCCCGAACCGACAATCATGGGCAAAACAACTAGGGCTTCGAAGAAAAAGGCTCCCGCAGCATCCACGTCTCGAGCGGTTGTCTCTACGAGCTCCGATACCGACCCGCCAACTGAGAACCGGTCCCTCGCTCAACAACACGGGGTGCCTTTCGACGTCCAATCAATGGACGAGGTCACGGCTTATCAAAGGCTCCCTGGCAAACCGTTAGCGGCTCCACGCACCCTCGATTGGGATTACTTCGAGACCTTGGGCATGAAGGACGATCTCGGTCGATACATCACACTACTCGACCTCATAGATTTCGAACACATGGAGCAATACACTTACCGGAACTTGACCCTCGAGTTTTTCAGCACAGTGGCCATGCACGACCATGGCAAGTACCTCACCGCTCGGCTAAAGGGGCAAGAGTACAAGGTCACCGACAAAGTGCTCCGGGATATTTACAAGTTTAAAGCCTCCATCGGGACACGTCACAGCCCCATGGGATGGAAAGCCGACCCGTATTGGCCGACCATCTCCCCGTGCGAGAAATTCAAGAGAGCCGGGGCTTCTTCGGGCTTACTATCCGATGTGGCTCATGCCGTTATCCACAAATATATTTCACACATGATTTTCGGCAAGCAGAAGTCTAACAAAGTGAATGAGCAACAAGTATTCATCATATGGTCGATTTCGCGGGACAAGTCGGCTAGTATGCTGCAGTACCTTAAGGAGTCCCTCTTCGATGTGCGCAATGACCCGAGGCGTGGATCGACATTGGGGCATATCGTATCCAAGATTGCCGAGCACTTTGGGGTTGACATTTGACGAGCCAAAGGTCCTTGCCCGCTCGATTTCTCATAGGGAGCTCTATCATGGGCATTTCCTTAAGCCCGGCGGAGCTGTTATTCCCGTCCGCGAACGAGATTGCTACAAGGCCTATTGTAAGGAAATGGGCATACCTTTACCCGAGGATCAGTCGGCGGCCGGCACGTCGACCAGAACGTCGACTGGACCAGCCCCAGCAGCCTCTAATGACGAAGACGATGAGGACTTAGAGGCCGACGCACATCCCGAGCACGATACTTATCTGCCTCCCCCGTCGATGGACGGGCACCCGAGCACATTTTCACAGCAGGCCCCCGCTTGGCTCTCCT